CCCTGGTTCAATCAGCAACTAAGAAAGCAATCTCTGCAAAAGCAAGCATTTCTTTCTAGAGGTAGTCTAAATTACTTCTGAGTTCTTTGCAGGGGCAATCCAGATGACCATTTGGTCTGGCGATTAAACCTCCGAACCTTTTCTGTCACTGTCGACTGCGTCTCGTGCCTTCTGCTCATAAAAATAATAAAAAAAAGGCTGTATCGATTTCACCGCGATGCACTCGACACGTATCCGGAGGCAGCACGCTGGCTGTGCGACGAACTTCACAAGGTGTAGGAGCTGAAGAGAGTATGTAGCTTGTGGCCGGCCATGACTGTGGAGCAGGAAGCGAAGTGTGCACTTCACGGCTTCCACGGGGAGGGCTTCACTGAGGGCAAGGATGTGACGGGGTCCTTGGTGGTCAGGACCTCAGTCGTGGTGGCGAGAGGTTCCCTGTCGCTGGCGGCGTCCGTGCTGGGCACCACCCCAGCGAGGGCGCTGAGGGGCTTCCCGACGGTGTCCCTGGTGGTCGGGACTACCGTCGTGGCGGCGGACCCCTTGCGTGTGGCGCTCCGCACGGGCACGTCTGCGGCGGGTTCCGAACCGGGCGACAAGGCGCTGCCTCAGAGCCTTCCCCCTGTCCGAGAGGCCGACCGGAAGGCCGACCGGAAGGCCGACCGGAGGGCCGGTAGGAGCCAGCCTCTCGGGAGCCGACGCTGACCTCTCTGAGCTCGGCTCAGAACCGTCCGAGCTCGGCTCAGACTCCAACTCTGACTCTTCAGGGTCGGAGTCTGACTCCGGTTCTGGCTCGCTCGATGCAAGGCAGATGTTGTGGAGCACTGCACATGCCGAAATAATGGCGGTGGCTGTTGAAGGGTGGTAATACAGAGCCCGGTGCCTTTGCAGACACCAGAATCTGTTTTTCAACAGCCCGATGCAGCGCTCCACAACAGACCTGATCGAGGAATGCGCCTTATTAAACCGGCCGCAAGCGGTGGAGGTCGCGTGGTTCCCGGGGACAGGGGTGATGAGCCAAGGCTCCAAGGGGTAGCCGCTGTCACCTGCACATGTAGAGGATGGAACATATTACATTCCTTACTTTTTAAAATAAAAGGCAAGAAAACAGCTGTGTGCAACTATGTCAATTATAATGTAACTTAAGTGTGACTTAAAAGTGTGTTAATATTTCTGCACTACAGTATCAGTTTACATTATGATTACTTACCACCAGCTTGCCTGCAAACTCCCTGTTATTTCATGTAACTATGTGTTTTCCTGGTGGGTTGTATGGGATGTGTGCACGATTCCTTGGGGGTGCTGTGTTGTATGCAAGTGCATTATTAGGCCCTTGCATCCGACAGATAAAAGCTCTGTTGCTTTTGGGAGTGTGGCCGTGACCTTAGGCACGGGCAGAGCAGAACACGCTGGCCTTGTCTTTGGCAAGCAAGGGGATAAGGCGCCAGTTCGACGAACCTCTTTCCTAATCCTCGGTGGAGTTGGAGATGGGGAAAAGAGAGGGGGTGGTTAGATTGGAAAGGAGTCAGGTCCTGTTGGGACACGGAGGGTCTAATAGGAGGAGCTATATAGGCAGACCGAAGAAGAAGGGTCAGGGAAAAGAATCCAGTGTGTGGGACAGAGACGACCCGAGGACAGATTTGGCGAGCCCCAAGTGGCCAAGGAGGAATTGATCCCATTCCGTACAAACTGACGACCGTCAAAGCGACCAGGCGAGCCCCCAGGTATCAGTGAAAGAGCTCCAACTTCATGCAGAAACCAACCAGCAAGAGGGTACAGGCAGACAGTAACAGTGAGTGGGCCGAACCGGACAGCGACTCGCACTGCGGTCGCATGCCTTGCATAGTCTATCACTGTCGTGAGATTGGTGTAGTGTGGCTTTCGTAGCCTGCAGAGTGTGAGAGTTATGTGGACATAAACAGAGATTAATGGCCAAACTTTGGGTGTTGTCTCACTTCAAGGAGTTCCAGCAACTGTGTCTGTGTGCCTCACAACAAGCACAGTACGTGTGGTACTGTGGCTTTCAAGCAGTGGGAGCCACCGTGTGCGTAAGGTATGAATTTAGTATGCTCACCAAGCAGGAACCGGCCGTCGCGTGGCAGCTGCCCTTGCTCGAGTTGGTTTCGGAGCCAGGAAAATTGCCACACGAAGGAGTCGTGCACCGACCCGGGATACCGTGGGTCGATGCACATTATCCGGCAGTCGGCGTCACACACCTGAAAGTGAGAGAGATATTGACATGTAATTACCTGAATCCACAAGTAGTAGATTGTACTTGTGGTTCACAAAGCAGTCGCAATTTCAGAACCTTTTAAGTTATTTTGTCTGACACATGTATGTCAACACACCTTCCTGGATGCAAGGTACAACTAACTACGTTGAAACAGAAATAATGTTTTTTTTTTTTGTTTTTTACGGAAGCTTTAACAGACAAGTATTATTTTTGGGAGAAGCGTCTCACGGCTCACATGCTACGTAGAGCACACGCTCGCGCAGTCGTGAGACCCCACAGCCCGCAGTCATAAAACGGCATACTTAAACCGTATCGGCAATACGTTTTTTTTTCTTTCTACAGATTTGGGGCGCGTTTTGACAACGTAACATGAGTGTACTTACCACCATCACGTTGAGGGCGTAGAAGTACTTGCGGCACCAGTACGCCGCCTTCGTGACGGTGGGGTCGTTCTTGGACGGGCCGACGATGGAGACCATGGTCCCGTCCACGCAACCGATGACGCCGGGTATCCTGTCGAGCAGCCTGAAGCCCTTCTCCGCGTCGAACCTCCCGCTCGGCGTCTCGGGGAAGTGGATCCAGCCACGCTGGACCCCGAGACGACGCACGATAGCGACGGACACGGCGCGGACCGCAACGCTGACTGTCTTTTGGTCCCGCGCTACGTGTTCGTCGCTCGCCACCATGCCTTGGAAGCTCCCCGTGCCGTAGAAGCGCAGTGCACACAACACTTGAAGCTCCACAGTCATGACCGTCCACGAGGTACGCACCCTCCTCACCTCCGGTTCCTCGCGAAGTTCGTCGCACAACCACCGCACCACGATCTTGGGCAGGCGGTATTGCTTCCGAAAGATCTCCTCCGGGAGCTCGAATGCATCGCGGTGTTCCCGATACAGCCTATCGGGCGAAAAAAAAAGCTCTATTAAAGAAAAAGTCGAATTGACGAGACGGCGACGCCTCGCCGCCGAAAACATGCAGCCAATGACACCTAGTTCCGAGCAAGTACCTTTTGAAACGTACTCGGTACAAAACGAAACGTCATTTTGTTGTCACGTCCGGTAGCCGACTCCGCCCAGTTTTGCCGACTCCGCCCACATTTTTCTAGGGAAATTACGTCACTTTTGTTTCCAACCAATCAGACGTGATGACGTTACTTCCGTGTACTAAAAAAAGGTACATGTACAATGTCGAACCTAGCTATCCTGTTCTAACCATTCTTTTATTTCACTACCTATTTTTGGCAGAAGGGGCAACAAATTTTCTGTGAAACCTTCTTCTTTTGGGGCTTTGTGACTCAGCAAGTTTTCGTAGAATTCAAGAAAGGCTCCCTCAATTATGCTAGAGTCACGCGTCGTGGTACCCTGATAATCAATTTCAGTTATTTCATTGGCGCGTGCGTATCTCTTTTCTGTGGCTAACGCTCGTTTTGTTGGTGCTTCACCCGCGAGAAACTTTTCTGCCCGGGCACGTATTATCGCAACACTGTAGTGCTCAGTATCTATGAACTGTAGCTTGCTTTTTATTTTATTAATGTCATCTATAAATAACCCTGGGGATTTACACTCTTCTGGAACAAGCTCCTCTAAGGTTGAGCACAGCTGCTTTTCCTCTTTCTCTTTCTCCTACTTTAGAGTGGTTGATCTTTCTATAGCGTCCATTTTAACTACTCGTTTAAATTCTTCCCATTCTCCGGTCATCTCGCTCCCGCAGATTTTCCTAAAATTTTCAATTCTTGCATTTATCTTGTCGTTAAACTCCTCGTCGTAAAGGAGCTTGTAGTTCATTTTCCAGCTGTGCCGATCAAATCGGTGTCGTTCTTTTCTTTTTGATCCTAACCCGAAAGCCACGAGGCAGTTGTCGCTAAAGCACACTTGGTCGACACTATAGTGTTCACACAGCGGAACTAGCTCAACTGACACGTATGCTCTGTCTAGCCGTGCGTGGCTACTTCCTTGGAAATGTGTGAACTGCACGCCCTTCGTGCCCTTTACGCAATGTGTCATGTCCTCCAAGTAATGCTCATTTACCAGTTCATTCCAGATATCGCCACTGCTATCCCTCCGGCGACTATGAGGGGTCCTGTCTTCTGGAGCACATGTACTGTTAAAATCCCCCACCACCACAAGCAGTCGTTCGCACTTTAAATATTCCGCTATACTTTAAAAAAAAATGGCATCGTTCCGTCTCTACAGTCGGTGCGTAGATACAGATTATACGAAACTTTTGATCTGAAAAGCAAATATCACAATACACGACTCTTCCATCTTCACGCGAAGCAACATTCTCAACAATGATACCTAAAGAATTTTTCAAAAAGATGCATACACCTCCCGACCTCCCTACCGCATGGCTTACGCATACATCGTATCGCGACTCAATTTGGGGCACCATCTGCTCGGTCTGCTCCTCGCTCTCAATCTTGGTTTCCTGGACCGCTATCACGTCGAGGTCGTTTTCCAAGAACAACCTTCTGAGCTGGCGCTGCATTCACCTTGCAGACAGTCTTCTTACGTTCAGGGTAGCTATACGCAGTGCGACCTCGAGCTGTTTCATAGCCTTAAAAACTTAGGAGCTTATGACCTTGCGCCAGCTATCAGACACTTGCCAATCAGGGGGGTAGCGGGGAACCAGCTTACTGTGACAGCCGGTCTTCACGAGCCCTCGACGGCGAGCGGCTGCGTGTCGTATAGCGTCCTTTTTTCCCGGCGAGCTTCCACTGATATTCCAGGCGTCGCAGGTACCTGCTCGCTGGCGGCAGCACTGCGTGCACCCAAGTGCTCTAGTCGCCGCTTCGAAGTGATCGCGTCCAGGGACATTTCCTCGCTGGGGCTGTTCTCCGGCGCCACTTCCTTTTCCTTACACGTAGCCGTTTCCTCCGCTGCTTCCTCTACTGTAGCTGCATCCGAACCGGCTGAGTGCTTGAAATCCCCCGTGGTGTCCTGGAGCTTCGCGGTCCGCATCTCGGCTGGCGCTGTGACCACAAAAGGCTCCTTTTCTCTCTCAGGTTTCCCTTCGCACTCCTTGCTAGCGGTTACTATTGCCTTTGAAGTCGCCGACGCTACAGACGCTTGCGTTGAGGGCGCCGCCGCCTGTTCCGCCTCTTGTTCGTCTATCACAGGCTCGTTCGTGTCTTCCTCGGCCTGGCGTCCTCCTGCGACTCGAGCATAGAATCGAACGCAGTCTTGGCGTTCGTGACCATATCCACCGCACTCACTACAGGGAGGCGCCCTACAATCACGGCGAATGTGTCCAGACCGTTTGCACCGCAGGCACAGTGGTGCACGTCCTGGAACAACCACAAGTACAGGGCCGCCGGTGAACCGAAGCTGGTGAGGCAGGCTTTCCAGCGTCATGCATTCCTTCAGTGACAGCGTGCCACCCGGGTCGACGACTCGACGCCGTCAAACCCGTCGATGTGCCCATTTTCTCGGGTTATCTCTCTCACTACGCCAAACTCCTCCAGTGTCCTTTTCAGGGCGTCGTTGGGCACGTCGAAAGGCACCCAGTGAAGCTTGAGTCGGACCTCTCGTCGATCAGGGTCCATCGGCACACACCAACCTTGAACTTGCCAGACATCATCAGTTTCTCCTTGGCAGCAGTCGACTTGAGGCGGACAATCCAAACGTGCCCCATCTGGAACACTCCCATACCGGTCACGTCGCTCAGGACGCCAAGTTGCCGCAAAGGTTCCCTGAAATCTTCAATGCGGTACGGCCGCACTCCGATGTCAGCCTGCAGAAATGCCGTGCATTTCGAAGAGTCATTCGCCTGTAGCGTCGGCAGAATAAACCGATAATCAGCAGGAAGATCCAAAGCCCTATCACCGCGTCCAAGCAGGGACGCTTGCTTAGCTCCAACGGAGCTCATGATTCCGCGTGCGCTCTCGACGACGTTCGAAATTGGAATGCGGCCACCGATCCCCCCCTACTTATAGGCATCTTAAGTGCTCTGCGTTTTCCTTTCTCGATTCATTTCCTGTCCACAAAGATGCAAATCCAAAAAGCGTTGGCACGCCCCCGATACTACCTTTTATCCACAAATGTTCCCTACAGTCTTCCTTGACTCTCTTTTAATCATGTCCTTCCACCAATACCCATAATCATAGACCTTTCCCTTTCCGTTCCTTTCCTGTAGCGTCCTATCACCTTGTACTCTGGCATAAAAGGTGGTTCTTCCACGTCCTAAGAATTGTCTCCACCACCCGTATACTGCGAAATTTTTCTTTTGGAGTTGGTCCTCAATATCTATCCACTTCACCTTATTCCTGCCACCTTGCATGTTAATGAATTCTACTATCTGTTGTATTTTTATTTTTCTCCTCTGAGTTTTAGTACTGTCCTTTCTTGTTACTTCTTCTCTTGTCAGACAAGGACTCTCCTCGGGCCCGTCTATAGCCCTTAAAAAGCCCTAGCTCTACGCCCAATCCTTCACTCTAACTGCCTCCCGAGGGTACGCTGTATTGGATGCAATCCCAGGAAAAAGGGTGGTGTGCTCCAATCTCATAAATCTCCTGGTTGACATCCATCACGTCGTACCTAAGGGCATCCCTCATCTCCCGTATTACGCCGTTCGCTTCAATAATCTGCCTGGTGACCCCCGGCCCTCTTCCCTGGACCTCTGGGATGGTGCACAACACAATTTGCACCCCCTCCAAGACGGCCTGGAGTGTGGCCACTCCCGCCTCTATTTGCTTCTCCACGTGCGACCCCTTCAGCTCAAGTGCGTCATTTACCCTTGTGTGTACAACTAGGCAGTGTTGGAACGGCGTCCCAAGGAACGGCTTTTCCGGAACGCGTTTCTTTTAGGAAGAACGAGGGAACGCCGCTATTCCATTTTGCATCGAGGGAACTGGAACGGGAACTCTCTACATTTTTAATAAAACAGAAAAAGGAACGGCGCTCGTTTTTTTCGTCCAATGGGGTCATTTTTATTTTATTTCTAAGGGCGAAATTGTAAACGTATAAAAACAATATCTTTACGAAGTGCAGGATTTCGTTAACTTTTTGGTTACTTATCTTTGGATTTATTTTGTGTGGTCCTCGCTTAATAACAGTCGGGTGCAGGAGAGCTACTGGACATAGATTTTTTTTTTTTTTAGTGCCCGAAACTGCGGTACAAAAAGCAAAACTTTTAGTCGAAGGAAATGTGAGAGAAAGAGGGACGTTTCAAACTCAGCAAATTTCTTTGCTTCCACGAATCCTCATACCCCCAAAAATCTAAGGCTGACTACAGCCAAACAACGAACGAAATAACAGGTCACAAGACATCGAACGCACCAGGAATGGCGGTTGAAGCAGAGATGCTTTATTGGCGCGAAAAATGTCGCATTATTCGTGTGTTTGTGTCTGCTCGGTCGTGAGAAGGGATACATTCCATCCTACCTTGCATCTCTGTGAAAAGCGGGACTTGCGCGAGCGGCACAAGCTTATATTTAAAACGCTAATGCCGTTCGAGAGCTCTCATATATTTTCATAGTCCCGCTTCTTTATTTTTTTTTTAGTGTTTTGTTGTCATAGAAGGATGATTGTCTATCTCACCTTACATATCAGCTACAAAAAAGCGAAGTTTGAGTGTGATATGATATGCGACGCTTTCCTCTCCACTTCAATGTCAAAGCTCTCTTTTTCGGCAGCTGGACATTTTGCAGACCTTTAAATACCTTGTTTTTGTTCGCTTTTTAATACAGATTTTGTGCATAGCATGGGATTAGTAAGAGTGAGGTTTTCTTGACTTCTGCATTATCAGCCAAAGCTTGTAGACCAGTAAATCTCTGAAATAATTTGATCTAGTAAGCATGCATCATATAAAGATAAACACAAAACTGGCAAAATAAATGGAGCAACTTTCACTGCTGTCTTTATTGAAGAGTCACCCGACATTGGGAACTTTGCTTCCTCTGACAGGCCACTCGGGAGACACATTCTTCTCAGACATACTTTTTCCCTTCTCTCTTCATCAATTTTGCTTTTTTACTTAGAATCAGAAGACCCCATTCCGCGAACAGAGAGGCGTCGCTCGGCGTCCGAAACAAAGAGTTTCTTTTTGCATGTGTTCTGCACCTACTTTGCAACCCGGCACAAAACACCACTGCTCCGCCTTTTTCTTGGCTGTACTTGACATCGTTGTGTGTCCTTCACCCCTTCGGCACAGCTAGCAGCCGCACAACACTGTATCACTCTACACATAAGTATTTCTTGTTATATTGTTTCCATTTCTTCTTGTTTGGCGTTGTCCCAAACAAGAAGAAATAGTCACACCAACACACTCCAAGTCAGTCTCGCTAAAGGCTGCCTGACAGGCCTCCTGGCCCCGCTGCAACTGCCAGCGCTGCCCCAGGTGCCTACAGCAGAGTTGGGCTACACGACAGTCAGCTCCTATATAAACAGGCGACGCAGTCGGCTCACCTCCCAGTTCTAGTAAACTTACCCCGTGTTTTGCAGCGCGAAGTTTCGCTCCACGTGCTCCGAGCTGGTGTGCGCTCGGCGCGCGCTAGACGGCCGTGGTGATTCAGTATCTTCCTTGCCAGGATTATTAGGGGATTCCGTCTACGTTGCCATCCGGTGATTTGATAAAGCGTGCGATCGTATTGCACAGAGACATCGCGGGAGGACCGTACCACGTCCAGGATTTTCGGCAGCCGCTCAGCGAGGCAGGGATTATCGGGGAAGTAGCCATAATAGGGGCGTATCAAATGTCCCACGTCTGGCTGCCAGACTTGAAGACGGACTCTGCTAACCTGAAATTGCTCGAGGCAGAGCGACTCGTTATGAAGGGCCGACCATGCCTTGTCGTTCACCCATTCTGGCCGGTGCTCCGGGTCAAACTCCACTTGGTGGCGTTCGACGTGTCGAACGACGCCATCCAAAGGGCCTTTGGGTAATGCGATGTGGTCAAGAAAGTGACGCAGGAAGGGTGGAAGGTGCCAGGCTTCAACGGAGTTGAGTCCAACACCCGACTGGTATGCCTGGAACTCCGGGACGGCGTCAGCCTTGAGCGTCTGCAGCACCAGCTTGGCCTTGGCAGCGGCATGGTGCTCGTGGTGGTGCCTGGACGGTCCATATACGCCTCCGGTGCCGTAGGACTGACGATATTTTTGGGAATGCCGTGCGCCTAGGTGCACCGAGTGCCGGGCGTACGGGAACAAGATGGCCGACTGTGTTTTTTCGTACGCTCGAGCTGCAGGCCGAGGACCGACGGAAGACCAGAGTGACCTCATCATGGACGAGGAAGAGACGGAAAGAGCGGCTGAGTTCACGGGTGCGGCAAAGGAGCAGTCCGGCTGAAACAACATGGAAGATGCTCGTCGCAAGTAAGCGCCACTGCGCTGACGCCACCGTTGACTACAGCTCCTACTTCTGCAGTTGAGCACCAGTCGAGTTCGGGAACGGTGAACTCGGAGGCAAGTGCGAGTCTGGAGTCTGACGAGGACTTCGCCGTCACAGCAATGGACGTCGAGGCGAGCTCGGTGAAACGCCGGCACGACGACGCCACGGAAACTTCACAAGAACGACGTCTGCCCAAACTCGAAAGGGAATGCGCGGGGACAAGTCGCGTAACGAGCCAGCCGTGGGCGTTGTTTTATCAGCGCAGTGCAAACTGTCCCAATGAGCTCCTGTATGAACAAGCCGTCCTGCACGATGTAAAGCACCAAAGTAAGCGCAGTACTCTCTGTCTCGTGTTGCTAGACCATGGCCATACTTCAAAGGCCTGTGCAAGTAGCATCACTCGATGTACGAGGGCTTGCGGATCGAAGAGGGCAAAGGCCATTATAATGCCTCATCGTCGAGCAAGACCTCTACATCCTTGCATTGCAGGAGACCATGGTCCAGAGTGAGGACCAGACCGAGCGTATAGTGTGGCCTTTTAGAGCGCTCTTTGACGTTTGTATTTGTCACGTAGTGCTTTGTTTGTGTGGCGGAGTGTGGGTACGGTGGTACAAGTGTGCCTTGTTAGTACGGAGGAGTTTGGGGAGGGTGGCGCGTAAAAGCTGTTACGAGCTGTCTGTTTGGTCGGCTGATTGTTTGTGATGTTTCTTCTTCGACCATAGAATCGCGAATGATCTACGTTTAGGCGCATACTAAGGTTGAAAGTCGCAAATTGTTTCCTGAAGGATATCTGCTTATATGTTTTCACAAAATGAATGGCTATAATTCTAGGGGATTTTTATTGTGTATATACTGCGGGGGACACATCAAGTATTACGCCTTTCAGAGATAGAAGTACGGTTATTTTAAACGAAATTGTTAACAAATATTGGTTAGAAGATGTTGGTGATGTAATAGAGGGCACGAAATGTGACATATATATATACTCATTTTCAATGGTCTAGTACGCCCATTTAGACCGGTTTTATGTTTCTTTAGAGCTACTGCCGTTATGCTGTATTTATCATGTCACGCCTGTGTCCTTCAGTGACCACTGTTTCGTGGAATTTACTCTTGGAAAAGCTGAAGTAAAATGAAAAAGTTATTGCTGGAAGATGTGGAAGCTCAACAGTGAATTGCTGAGTGATGAGTTATTACTGAACGTGGTTAAAATAGCTTAGAAAAGTTCGGGGAAGAAACTCACAGTAACTACGCTTCGAAGTGGAATTTGGTTAAAGAGGAAGTCAAGATGAAAGCGATAGAAGCAAAAAGTGCGATTCATAATTCTGTAAGAAAACGTAAAGAAAACTTGAGAAATAATGTTATAATTTTGATAGGTAAAGAAATTCGTACGACCGGTGTTTTTAAAGAAGACATGCGCTGTGAAAACGCATTTGGAAATTTTAGATAGGGGGCGATATCAGGGTGCACTGGTACGGATGGGTGCGCGAAAGACGTTACTGCTTTATGATTACCCGGCGAAGCGCCGACAAAGAGAGCGTTCGGCGCGAAAAAAAGGCACGCTAGCCGTTACGAGATAACGGAAACCGAATGTGGCGGTTTATTGCAAGTTACCGTATAGAAATAAAAAGCGCTTTCAGAGATTTTTTTACTCAGTTGGTTTCGTATCAACCTGTGGACACAACCTGTGGACCTGTGGATTTTGAAAAAAAAAAAAGTTTATTTTGGGTGCTATTACCGCGTTTAGATGAGGACACAGTAGTAAATTGAGAGGCAGCGATCACCGTAGGAGAAGTCGAGAAGGCCAAAGATGACTTGAACCCTGGAAAATCACTTTGACCAGATGTCCTGACTGCGTCATTCTACAAGACGCTTAAAAAAAGTGATCTTTGTTTTGTGTAAGGTATTTAGGGAAGCATACGGGCGAAAAATTCTACCTCTGTAATTTGCTTGACCACCTACATTTGCTATTCCTAAAACCGATGACAACCTAAAACTGAGGCCAGGTATCGGCTTTTCTTCTTATATATCTCGCAAGCGTTGATTACAAAACTCTAATGAACATAACGGTTAGACTGTTACAGCCTGTCATCAAAGATGTCGTCGGATCACAACAGACGGGTAGAATTAAAGGGCAATCTATGGTTACCAATATTCATGTCGCTAGGAGCGTGCTCGAGTGCTGCGATTGTATGAACTGCCGTGCTGCAATGCTCAAGTTGTCCCTGGGGTTGAAAGGTTTTGTAATATAGGTGGCCAAGCGCTCTCGTCCCCACCTCTCCCTCAATTTCTGCCAGCGTAGGTTTGGAAAAGTGACGGTTTTCGCAGGCATCGTGTGCGATATTAACGTTTAGGACATTGAAGAGTCTCTCAGTAGCTCTATTTTATTAGATGAAACGCACTGAATTTTGTTGCGCAAACTGAACGGACAAGTAAGTAAACAAAAATTGCGGAGTAACACATTATTTATTAAGGATCAGGTGATGAGAGTTCTTAGGTGAATACATCAGTGTAAACCATTTTGAAGTAGCACGGCCTTCACATGCACTCCATTCTTAATCCGTAGCACGAGAGGATTCATGTCGAGATTCGGTGGATCCTTGAGAAAACAAAATAAAAGAAATGGTCATCAGTATTATTTCCATTTTTGCGCAAAATGTGACGTTATTTTTATGAGACCTTTGTTCTTTCATTGACAAAACCGAGCGCGTTCACTCAACTGGACGTGTAGTAGGGCAAACATACTCAAAAATTTAGTTGACAACAAGGTTCTATAGATGAGTAATTGCCATGTATGTTAACTGATGTCTTTTTTACGATATCTACACTTTATTTTGCGTACTTTGTGTTTTCTTTTAGAAGCACTCCTGTCGTCATGGTGATAGGAAACGTCGATGCGCCGAGAAAGACGAGGAGACGATACCGCGCGGGGACATCCGAATGCCGACCTCTGGTTGGAAGGATTACTGGGTAGACCTAAAGCTAAATGCCTTTGTCTCCACTGTACTAGTCGAAATTTCCAGAAAGCGGAACGCGAGCGTCCGGTGTTTGGCCTCCACATTCGAATGCCCTGGGCCCGGTTTAGCGTGTGCCCAGCGTCCCCTTTTATGATAGCTCAAGAAATTTCAATAAATATTTGACAACCATATCCTCCAAGTGTTTCGGAAGGTCATACTGGACATATCGTAGACTTGTTCTCTTAACATCGAGCCAATTATCGGCTGTAAAGGGCTACCAAAATAAGCCAGTCGATGAGTAAGTTAATTTATAATAATTATTTTGAAACGAAAACACTCGAAGAACGTTAGCGTTCATACGGCGGGTGTCTCAGAGCTGTACAGTGTGATTCAGTACACTAGACTGTAATATTTGAAGTGTAATCAATCCCTAAACTGCATTTTAAATTTCACCTACGTCACAAAATGTTTGTGTGCCTCCCTAATAATCACGTTTTAGTTGAAGTTCGCGGGGCAATTACGCGCGCTTTCCTAAATACGTCCGGTTCGATTAAGTCTCCTTATAAATAACGTCCCCGCCAATTCAAAGTTAAAATTTCCAAGTAGCGAAAGCATGTGCAAATATGGCCTTATAGTAAACGAACGTTGATTCCATAAGAAAAAAAGTGACAAAAAGGAAATACGGAAACTTCAAATTTCTTTGTACCCGAAGAATTACTGCTCAATGTAGTACACTCACAGAAGGAGCCCGAGAAAGCTCTTTTTTGAATATTTTACTGCGTATTGATTTCAACGTATTGCATTGACTTCTGCGTAGCAGCTGTTATGGGGGTAAAGGCTTTAAGCCCAAATGCAAAGACGAAGTGCGTACACTAGTCACGTACGCTCTCGGTTGAAGAAGAAACATACTTGCTGATTACTGCATATTTTGTTTTCGTCTTCGCATTTAAATTTTTTATTATTTAATCTATAAAATAAACTTGTCTAGCCCCTTGGCATTATACAAACATAAACTCTCTATGAACGAGGACGAACTGAGGTTGAACTCCCAAACTTTGGATACAAGGTATGGTCCACGACGAATGCCTTAGATTGAAGGTACATACACGAAGGATGGATAACAGGATAGTCTCATAACATTCGAGGCTTCTAGTTTTGCCCGCTCTTCTTAGCTTCATTTAATGCGGGTGCGTTGAGATGTTTGCTTCAGGTGTGAGCGTACCTTTTCGGTGTTCTCCGTGGGCACAAGGCGGTACTTTCTGAGGATGTGAGCGAAGGTGAAGCGTATTTCCATTTGAGCGAAGCGCATCCCGATGCAGTTGCGGGGTCCCGCACCGAATGGTTGCCAGGCCAAGGGATTGAATTTCTGTTTGTTCTCGGGAAGGAACCTGAGAGAGACGGGCATTTAAATAAACCTTTCGTCGGTTTTGCAATTTGTGCCTGCCTGTCTGTTTTTCTATAATTAGTAGAAGGATCGATATTCCTCAGGACTTAGCCCCTACTTTTGAATCTACGCACTCGTTGTAAGATGAAGGGAAAAAAAGGTCTTCCGCGTTATTCATGCATTGGCAAAATAGTTCTCACAATATTATATTATTTAAAAAAAAATAAAGGAGAGTTTTTGGGGTTTGAACTTGTTCGTCTTGATGAAATCTCATAACGGCGATCAAGAACGTACCAAGACATATATTAATTCAAAACATTAAGGGGTAAATTATAAACTTTTCGCGAAAAGGCGGACTCTTTACTACGACACTTGAGGTAAGTACTAGGGCTGGGCGTAGAATAAAACGTTAACCCTATCCATCGCCACACTTTAATCGATTAACTAATCAATTAATCGGCCTCATTAAATTCTAAAAAAAATTCTTTGAATATGCGGCAAACGTTTCAATATAAAATTGCGATTTAGAACCAACCTCAATGTGTGGTTAAGAAGAATTCGAAGACACTCACAGTCACGAATTGTTACTTCTGCCGCGTGCTGTAGAGGTTCGTTGATATTCTCCGGCAAGAGCGACCTCCCACGATTGTTCGCAATAGGGGGCATTTACTGGACGAAATGTTTGAGGGCGATGTTTAGGACGCATTCTCAGAACGACCTTACATTAATAGCCTGCTGATACCGGCAATCTGGATGGTGCGGAATGCGCGTTGCAAAAAAACTGTGGAAGCTCGCCGTCAGCACGCGTTCAGCAGTCGCGCACACAGCAATGGCCGCCAGTGAATACTCCCTATAGCCTCAGCCGCGCTAAACGGACGCACGAGCAGCGTAGAAGTGGCTGCCACACGTGTAACCTTCTAAACTTGTCTGCAATTACAAATCTCTCACTCTAGTTTACCTTAGGCTTAAATTTCTTCTATTCGTCCACGTCTGCGTAATAAAAGCGTCGAATTTTTACTTTTTTTTTTGTGGTTCGTCAAAAAATTAATTCATTAAGCGCTTTAAAAATATCTACCGCGGATAATACAATATTTTGGTTAATCGGTAGGTTAATCGATCAATAGCCCAGCCATAGTAAATACAAGGATAGCCTTCTTTCAGCCGCTGGCTAAGCTGCTTTTCCTTTAGTGCGTCTTAGATTCGATATGCTTTTCACGCCAACACACGTGGCGCTGACGTCACGCCGGTGTGGTGGCGCTGCTATTGGCCGTGCGCATGCGCAGATGGTCCACTTGACGCGAATCTGGTTCCAGCGCACGCGCACTGCCCATAGCTCGTGCGGAAACTGCGCGTTTGCCCATACATTGTCAGGGCTCGTATGGAAACAGCGCGTTGGCCTTTAAAACTCTTAGTTGGATTTAATTCCTAAAACAAATCTTCAAAATCAGATTAGGATTTTGTTTTTCCTTTAGTTTCATGAGCAGCGATTTAGGCCAAGCTCGCCGAGAATTGTTTAGTGTATGATGGTGATCTAAACACGAGAAGTAGATACAGTAGTCTTTAGCACTTGCTCGTTGAAGCGCGCTCTCGTGAATGAAGGATGAGAGTGGGCACGTGCTCAGCAAAGCAAATTGTTGTGTGTATGTTTATTCAGCCGGAAGTTAGTCTGCCTCAGTGGGCGTCTGGTGTCTCAGCTGTAGATGAGCAATTTAGCCAGCGCGGTACAACCGCTAGCCTTGGGTATTTAACGTGCACCACGCAGTAGTGAAACACGACCGCACGCCGGTACGATGCTCATCCAGATCGAAACTGGCAGGGGTGGGGATTGAGCCCAGTATTCCTGGGATCTGCAGCGCGAGCTTTTGCTCCACGTGCTCCGAGCTTGTGCGCGCTAGCCCACTCGGCCACCGATCCCCCCGCGTGCTCAGAGAGATTTAAATGCGTTGATTACACATTTGGTTTCTGTTTTTGAATATTTGCGGCGAGATGTTTTGGTGGCGCCCTCGTATGGTTCCCTCTTGTGACGTCACTACCTTGCAAACAGAAAGTTCGACGGTGTTTGTAATGAGGGTGGAGGAAGACTGAAAACGTTGCTCTCTCAAAACAACACTGCCGAAACCGTAAATTCAAGTTCTTACATTCTTCTTACTTCCGTCGATGAAAAATACTTTGCTGACATCATAGTCAGCATTCGGCCCATCCTGGAAGGCTGACCACTGCGACGCTTTCGATCGCGCACGTCGCTAATAGACAATAAACGTTTCGATAAATTACTCAAGCACCAAGAAGCTTGCTTCGAGTGTAGTTTCACGCTCCGCACGTGATGGCGTGTGCAGAAGTCACTGTTCTAAAGCCAAAGTCGAAAACAAATGTTGCATGCGCGTTCATCAATGCCTTATTTTGGTTATTTACTTCGAATATTTTATACGAGGAAGGCGAGCGCATTCTGCGCCTGTACCTACACTCCAAGCATTCTCCTTGACGCTTGAGAGAGAATAGTTGTTTATTTACAGTCATGAAGAGGTCAACCTGCTTAAAACCTGATTTGCTACTTCGTAAAGGAGAGGGGGGTAGGGTTGGGGGGACAAGAAAGGAAAGAAAAACAGAGAGAAGAAAAAAAGTAAAAAAAATTATATAAAATAACACGCTTGGGTAATTAAGCAATGCGTAGCGCAAGTTCGTCTGCTTCTTTTGCAGGGGTTGTGGTGACGTGAGAATTCCGAGTTCTGATTTGCTTTGATCGAAGAATAGTGGGTAGACCTCAAAGCAAGCTGCCTTGAAGTCTAACCACTATCCTTCAATCAGAGCCAATCAGAGGTTGACGTCTTTTTACGTCACCACAACGCCTGCAAAAAAAAAGCAGACGAACTTGCGTTTTGCATAGGTCCAGTGCAAGAATGGCGCCTAGGCTGGTGCCCCATTGGCACGAAAGGCATGCGCGTGAAGGTACCTTTTCCAGGCTCAGGATTGCATGTGCTTGCCTGCACAAAGAAAGATATGGCGGCGGCCAGATGCCCTGCTTGCAATCGTCTCTATTCACTGACAAGTTGAGAACGGCAGAGAGGGGCGTCAGTTGTCCGGCCTCCAGCGCGAGCTTCCTACCTTCGACAGTGCTTCGACGTCTTGTGCACCTCGATCGCGCGCGCGCGGGCGCGCGCAGCCTGAAGCACGGCGGAAGACATGGAGTGGCCCGGATCGGGTGTTCGAAAGACACACCCTGCCATTCTCGCTCTGTGAGTGAGAATTTTCGGTTTTGATTGGCCACCCCTCTCGTGTTCATCTTTAGAGTAAAAAAGACTTTTGAATTCCTTTGTTTGTCTTTAAGGTCGTCACCTCTCAGCGGAACCGGGATGCCCAATCGGTGGAGCGGTCTGCAGTGCGTGACTTGCGTGTAATGCCGTCGCGCCATTCTGCTGCTCGTTACTACCCAAAAATAAATTTGATGGTGTGAAATGTGTCCTGCGTATGGTGCACGCTCAGCAGGAAGGGAAAATGCAATGGCGGCTGCTACAATGTGAGTGCGGGATACCTAACTCTGCCGCGAACCCTATAGAACCGTGGCCTCCTTGCTCAGGCACTCGTCATTGCTGCATAAGCTTTCGTGCAGTAGGGGACAACCGCAAGAGCAACGAACTCGGGCTTCTATTGTCTGCTGCGGTATACAGGGCGTTTCTCGAAACGTGAGCGAAATCGTTCACGAGAAAAATGCGCATCGCCCAGAAAAAAGGTTGGTGCTGTAGGAGTTTCTGCTCAAGAGCCCCTTAAAGAAAAATATTTGCGTTCAATATAATTAGGCAATATTTAAATTTGAGCGTTTAAACTTGTTTAATTATTAATTATAAGCATATAATTGTAATTAGAAGCTTGGCGCCAATCGTCGAAATTTACTAACTCAGACTACTGTACAATGATATAAGTCACTCGCAGCATCTTACGGTGTTCAGTAGAAACGCTCAATTTGAAGGAGTTTCTAGGTTTTGGTTTCTTAACGGAAAGCATTTCAGCGCCAGTAATCTCCTTCCACGTGGTCAAAGCGCGACATGCGTGCTCCGCAACGCCTTGTACGTAGAGATGTGTTTGTCTACACGCTGTCGCCGACTTCAGAAAGGCAAACCGCATGTGGCAGTCCGGGGGCTTTACTGTCTAGACTCTTCGTGGGATGCCTGGCGGCGCTCGCACAATGCCCGTTTGGGCCTCATGGAGCAGGAATGCTAACGCGGTCCGATTAGAAACCTAAACCTAGAAACCCGTCCAAACTAAGGGTTTTTTGGAACGCCGTAAACTTCTGATCGTGTATTATATCATTGTGTTGTGGGTGTGTTTAACAGTTTGTGATGATTCACATCAACTTCGTAATTGAAACCATAATTTTTTAGATTAATAACTCCAAATGTACTTACAGGTAAGAAATTAATAGCCTAAATATGATAAACGCTAATAATAGTCCGTAATGAGCCCTTTGGCAGAAACCACTACAACATTAAACTTTTTTTTTTGTGAGCGATGCGTATTATTCGCTAGAGCGATCTGGCTCGAGCTTGAAGAAACACCCGCATACTACGGTATAGTGCAGACAGACAGCTGCATTAATCACTACAAGCGACAATAACGTCAGAGTCATCGGTGCAGTTGCTAACCGTGGACAGTACGGCAAATAATAGAGGGAGTAGCTTCATGGTTGTCACGGTGTTCCCGGTCTTTGCTGTCGTTTTGGTTTTTGTGGGAGCAACCGACGCACATGTCCGGACTAGTTGTTAGGTGAAACCTATGAGAAAGTTTTCTTGAAGAAGCGTCGCAATGCTTCGTCTTCTCTGGCCATTTGGTTCTAACCAGGTGTTACTCATATTGCCGTGAATGAAAATGAATGCACACACGTAGAGTTAAAAATAAAGGTTTTATCGGCAAACGTGTGTCGAAAAAAAAAGCAGAATGAGCGTCGAGGAAGTTGTGGTGAGTGTCGAGGTGTCGGCGGGCCTGCTGGCTAGCGTGAGGGTCTTACCGCTCATTCACACTGGAAGCGGATCCGCGTTCGCAAATCGGTTGCGAACGCGGTTGTACAAAAATCCAGTACAATTGCTCGCGCACTTGATGTCATCGAGTGCGCGTGCAGTTGTACTGGATCTTTATACAACCGCGTTCGCAACCGATTTGCGAACGCGGATCCGCTTCCAGTGTGAATGAGCGGTTAGAGTGTCTGACATGGCAAGGCCACGCTGGCCTCCCTATCTATTACCCTCGGTTTCTCGAGCATTAGGCCTAGAATGTTCGAGCGTCGAGCTAGGGCGAGACTGACTCGGGAAGACCAGGTTGGCCACATGATCTGTTGCACTCTGTACCTCGAACATTCTACCGTCGAACAGTTGGAGTAAGAGTAAACGCATATCTTCTAAAAGCACGGAGTAACGTTCCTTCTCGGCCATGCACGCGGCGAATGAGTCGTATTTTGCGGTGCAAAGAAACATGTTGTTCTTACCTGTCCGGGTTGAAAACATGGGGATTGTCCCAGTTATCCGGGTCATTGTGAATGTATTCGACGGCGCTCATGACTGCCGTGCCTGCGGGGATCTTCAGTTTTCCGTACTGCTTGTCTACTGCTGCCTCTCGTGTCACAAACCTGTAATGCAGGGTGTTTTTACTGTCCTCTCATGTCTAGGGTACATCCATGTTTAAAATGTATAAAGCGTGGTATTAATGCTGGCATTCCAGTACAGAGGCCATTTTTAGAGCGTGGACACACGTCTGTTGTCTCCGAGAGAGTCCTTGCCCGGGAATACGTGATCCAACATAAAATCACTGTAAAAACTGCCGTGTTTAGTCCAAAGTCATGTCGCAGTTACTCTTATGATCAACTGAATGTCAGGAAGATTATAGTATGCGACGAAATAAAGTTGGTTTCAGTAAATTGTAGCCTCTCGTAATACGGAAGTTTTGGGTTGTCATAGAACTCACAAGTTAATATCATGATCACGTGACTACCGTTAGTCGTGTGTCCAGCATTAATTAGTGGGGCATAGCCCGAGAAACGAATCTCATCGTTGCCTTTTACGCAATTATAGTTAAAGATTACAAGATATTCGGCTCTACTGTAATGTAATGTAATCAACTCTAGGTCATGTGCACAAAATGCACCAAATAATTGTTTCGAGTTCGTAGATTATAGTGCTAGAACTTAGTGCACCATGCCATGATTTTGACTTTGTCTCTCTTCACATGCTGCCAGGACAGTATCCTGCCCATGAATACAAGACAAAGCAAGGCAAAGTAATGCAAATCACATGTGCCTCTATACAGTTTTATAACCACTTGGTTAGCACGCGACAGCTAATTATTTTTATCCCGCGGTCGAAAGGTATTTATATATACTTACCCGAATATTGGAGGGTACATCCGCATAGTTTCACACACCACGCAGTGTAGGTAAGGCAACTTTTGAATGGTATTATAGGTAATTTCTTCCTATAAAGAATAAGCAAGGTTCATTTAAGATACCAGATCAGTTAAGGAAGTTATGTTCCAATTTAGGTTTCTAAACGTCGTTAAGTTATATGTTGATTGCGGTTAAATTATTAAAAACTATGTCTAGTTTGTCACCTTTATATTATCATCAGGTTTGGAACAGCTTGACTCCGTGGTAGCTGTACATTTATTGTGAGCAAGTATGCCAGCGTAGGCACTTCGTTTTCTTACGGCCTAATGTGTTCTTTTATTGACTGCCATTTCTGATTTATTGTTTTACTGTGAGCGATCCATGCAAATTTCTCTGCTTTGTTGCGGAATGTACGGGCACCGAGAGCTTGATAAACCGTCTAGGACGCATTTTTTTCTCGGCCCCAATAATCACCTGCAACGGCAACAAACTACAGTTGTTATTAAATTATTAGGATGTTTTTGTCGCGACGTAAATTACTTAAATGACGTAAGTTAAAATGCGTGATTCATTCAATTAAGAAACCAACCCTATGCAAAACGAATGGAGCATTCTCAAAAATTTAGCTATTCGCATCACAAACCAGCAGGGAAAAAATATTTTTTCCAGCTTTATCCTTGCTGAGCTCCATACGTGTATGACAGTAATTGATTCCTCCAGAAGGTTCAGTAAAAAATTAGAAGCATGGGAAAGTTTTAGGTAGAAGACTAACAATCTAACCTAAAAGACTGGCAGCACACATATGTTTTTCACACTAAGGAAGTTTAACTGGCAATAATGTATTGAGATAGTGAGCTACAAACCTTAGTGACATGATGTGTGCTTAGCATAGTTCCTATACTCTGCTTCATGCTTAGTGTGCAACGCTGTCAACGCTTATGGCGCGAGCATGGGGCTTGATCTCGTTGATCATTTGCACGCGTTCTCGCGCAAACAAAACCATAGATGAAGCCATGCGCTCGCGTCAGTAGCTTTCACAGCGTATGAAGCGGAGTATACGCGGAGCGAAAGGTCATCTGCTTCTTACACAGCCGTGGTGGTCATTTCAAAACGCCAAACTCTTATTGGCTGATTGAAAAAAAAAATATAGTGGGTAGACGTCGAGACATCTAGCATTGAGGACTACCCACCATCCTTTCAATCAAAGCCAATCAGAGCTCGGTGTTGTTCTGACGTCATCGTTACTACTGCTCAAGAAGCAGACGACTTGCTGTCCGGATACATGGTGTTCGTACCACTTCCGGCCGCCTTGATAGGGAAAGAGAAACACTTTCGGTTCTGCTATGTTTGCTTTGTGTTTTGGTGGGTGCGCGATGACTCTTGGTTCTCTAGTGAGGAGTTTCATGATAGCTACGCTCTATACGTCGTTTCACACTATATCCAGACGCAGCTGACGCCACGAGCTGATGCGAGCAATCAGAAAGCGTCGAAAGAGCACAACATGCATGCTGTCTTTCGTGTTCCTGTGCGTGTTCTATCAGCGCTAAAGCAATCATAAGCAAAAAAAGGCCGAGTGACTTGCGTTCTAGACAGTGCTTGATTGGTCCCATTATGCTGTACCGTCGACTACGTCTAGACTTAAGCTAATACCCCGGTCAGGCGAGAAAGTAAATGTCATATTGATCGAATGTCATTCACCGCTCGTCGAATCAGCTCGTGATCCTGGTTCTGCACGTGCCGCATGCACGTGCAGCATGGCATATTAAACACGCGGATTGGCCGGGCTGTAATGTCATTACGCTTAAATGTCATTTGACGTGCAAGCCTGAAAGGGGTAATAAACGAGGTATAGAATGGCCGTTCTTTTAAATTGCCAGTGCGTGCCAGCTAGGTACGAACAAAATGTCACAAGTGAAGTTATTTCGATTATTTCGAGACGACGGACGCCACCCACGCCGCCGAGCTTATGTGATCGAAGGATGACGGCATTGGCAGCCGGCCTACTTTTTGTGTACCGCCGACAGATGGCGCAACACGACGAACGCAAAAATGCGGCGCCGGCGCCGCGGCGCCTCGCCCGGCCATCGCTGTACAACGATGGGCCATATTGCTGCACATAAAAAAGTGCAATTTGCACGGTGCCCTTAAAAACACAAAACAAAAATACCCCTTGAATATTAAAGCAAGCACCTCAAAACGCTAGAAAAGTGTGCATTGCAGAGACTCGCGTCTTGCTAAAAGAAGCGTACAAAATTAATGATAAAAAACAAAAAAACAACAAAAAAACAATAAAAGCCAAGTTTTGATTTGGCGACCACTGCGGGGAAACTCGGCCCGTATCTTTGGCGCCTGGGGAACATACTTCCCTCGGAAGTTTGGTTATGATTTGTTTTTGCTTACTTCCGCACATCAAGTATAAAATTGACGACTGGAATAGCGGTCAAAAGTCAGCAATTTACTGAAATAAAGTAAGATTCACCATATGCGTTATACATTATCAGCGCAAAAATCATTAGATTGACAGGTGATTTAATTATTACAAGTTATTTAAGGACATTCAAAGGAAGTTCAGAAAAAGCAGCATGAGACATTGACAAGGGAAGCGCGCATTTTGTAAGCGGGCATATCCTGCACCTAGCTGCAATAAGAACTGCTATTTCTAGGCTTAGTAGGAGTTTTGTTTGAAAGAATCAATCACCCAGATATATACTGTTCGTTCATTTAAAGCTTAGAATGCAGAATGAATTTAAGTTTCGGGTTACTTTGTTTTAGAAAAGAAATTTAAATTCAACTTCTCTGTATAATCTAGATTACATCCAAGGTGCACGGCAACAAGACAGTGTGCGAAGTAACCAAATGCTCTATATAAAATTTAAAAAAATGTCGCCTTGGTAATTTTAAAGCAAAATCCCCATCCGCGCTTTCTATTTAACGGTTTCAAAACGCAATTCAGATACCCTCTTTTTCCCGGAGGCTGATTGCTTTGAAGGCACTCTAAAATTAGGATTTCTGACACATGTTAAAGATCCCCACGAGTAGTAAATTATTATGCCGTCTCTTGCTGCTTGAACCCCGGTAATATAGGTGTTTTCAAACAAACAAAAACATGATTAAAAAATCAATAAAGTAGGTTATAAAACCAAGGTTCTTACGTCAGGTTCCAGGACAGACAAGAGTTCCTGTCGCACCTTCTCCTGAACCTCGGGGTAATTCACCAACATGTGAGTGATGAATGCCATTGAGTTGCTAGTTGTCTCGAACCTTTGAAGCAAAAACAAAAGGTAAGAGAGGAGGGGGGCGGAGGAGGTCCAGGTTGTAAATTAATCACTTAGGTCGATACGTTTACTTCACATTAACATGCGCTGGCACGGACTGGTGATTTGTATGGTAGGCTGCTCCATAGACCCTTTTCAAAACCTCATGAAGCAAAATTGGCGGCCGCCATTTTATGGACGCGACGCGTGTGATTTAGGTCCGAATACTCGCGGAGCGCTGAGTTTTCGCCAAGTTCACGGCGAACGCTTATGCAGCTCTCGTGTTCAATACATGACCAGCTCACGCATCCAAAACCATGGCAGACTCGGAGTACCTGCTCCTTCATTTCCTAAATTTAACATTGGTGTAGGTGTAAGCGCATTGCAAACATTATCTGTCTGGTACGCACTACATCAGAGATTATCGGTACGTCGATATTTACCGAATACACGAACCCTAAGGTTATGATCCGCTGCTTGGAACCTATAAAACGCGCTCGGTTGCAGCCATGTGCAACCTTGTGCTCCTTTGAGATCACTTCGAGGAGTAGAGAGTGATCAACTGTTCGGTCGGCGCTACGCGGTTTATGAGCCGTGTCTGCCATACGAGATGCGAGGAGGTGCTGAAAGCTTTGGTCGTCTGCAAACGTGTTCGCCTTTTCGTCTGCTCTGCGCCTTGCCGCTCGACAATGCAGCGCATGCGCACTTGCGATCAATCTCCGCAGGAGGCGTCCGCCAGTGAATTGCAAACGCTCCCCGTGGTTTGAGATGGATCCTCTCTACAATCTAGGCTCTCTAACGACGTCAGGACCATCTGATTGGTTGATGGGTGGGAAAGGAGGAGTAAGGTGCTCGATGCTGATTGGTTAATGGGGAGGTCATGTGACTAGAGGGGTAGGCGAAAAGAAGGTCGACCACCTGTGCGCAATGAGGGAAAAGAGCTCGAGAGTACGGAAGGGTCTAAAAGATCGCCAGATTTATCAGCCCAATTAGCGGGAGTATCGCTTCATTCTAGGAACAGCTATCAAGTGCACAGATGGTACGCGTTAAACTATCGGACGAAGAACGCCGTGAACGCAAGCATCTGGCTTTTGGAAAGTCAGAGTATCGCCAGACGTTTGTGATGCTAGAACGCTTCACGAATCTAACACAACTGCCTAGCGATTTGCCATACTTTTTTTAAAGCTAATTTTTAAGACTTCACTCAAATATTATTTAAAAAAGATATTCACCGTTTTTAAAACCGTAAATATTCACAAACATAAAATGGAAAACGAAAATTGCTTTAACTATAAAGAAGCTATATTAAAAGCAACGTGTCATAAATATGTTAATGCTGCGAAGAAACTTTGACGAATGTGCCACTTTTTCAAATAATTTATGAATACCTATTTCTAATCGCGTACTGTCACGCACGTAACAAGACCATTGTGTATCGATTAGTGAAATGAATAGAGCTACCTTGTTCAGTACAAAAATTGTGCGGAGCCGTCAGATAGAGCTTTTACTTACCCCGCAACGAGAACGAAGAAGGCATTCTGTATGATGTCGTCATCGTCCAGAACTGTCTTGGATGAATGGTTAAGCACGTTTGTTCCCTCTGAAGAAAAAGTAATTTTATTTCTACTTCTTGCATTGTTCCAAAGTCACAGACGAGTGGTTGTTTATAGAAATGCAATCAAATCTTGTTTATTCATAATCGAGGGGGACCGAAAATTTGTTTGAATAAAGCAAAATTTGAATTACCGGGAGTTTCCTCCCATAGGAGACAAACACATTGGATGCGACCTGCATGTTAGTTTGAATTATCCGCAAGTTTGAATAAAGAGAGTCTGAACTAAAGAGATGCGACTGTACCTTGATTGTTATCTTACTTTAAACCTTATTTTTATATTAAGACAATTGTAGGAGTTGCAATGTCAGATTTACATCATGACCCGAGTGAGTGCAGCTTCTTAAACTTACTCAAGATGGTGATTATAAAAAAAAAAACAGTAACTTGTTATTAATTAATAAGGAAAGAATTTTATTAAAAGGTGTATCTTAGAACACAACATTATACAAAGAGAAACTCGTAGTATGTAAAAATTAAAAAAAAGAACATTACAAAAGACAACAACAAAAACAACAACAACTCGTGAGGTGGATTACAGAAGTCAGATTTGATTGAGCCGTTCTTTTATTAATGACACAAATGACGATCTGTCATGAGCGGCTATTGCATACACATTACTGTTCGAGCAGACAGGTGCACTGACAGGAAGATTTGGGTTAATATTTACGTGAACGGGACGTGGCCAGATTAACCTAAATTGTGGTGCGCTGACTGACATTGGTATTAGTGCATTTCCACAAGATAGCACGTTTAGTCGCGGTTACGCACGTTACGGTTCCACGCAGTGAACGTTTTTGCAACTTTACGTATTTATGTTAAATTATTGCGTCGTATTGTAAATAGGTCGTTTATTAATACTCCAATACCGCGGTCTAAAAAACAAACAAACAATAATTTCTACCAGACGTGGGGAAGGTGATAGAACTTGCCTTTCTTTCTGACAAAATTTCGTTCTTCACGCTTTCAGTTTTGTTGTTTTTTTGGCATTTTTATCGGCTAATAGAGAGTTTTAGTATCGCGTACGAGAGGAAAATCTTTTCGTTAGCGTTGCCTGCTCCGCGCTCCGCATACGCTTCGTCGCCATGCCGCCAGTCCGAGACCGCAGATTGGGCCCCGCGCACGCGCAGTATAGAAACACGCAACGCTAACACGAACGCACATCTCCTTGCGCTCGCTCGTAAAGAGGAAACACTAAGACTTACATACGTGATGCAATCATATGCGGTGCTGTGCGAAAATATGATGTACGGAATGCGCCACGCTTTGCGCTTCTTCAGCCGTCAGTAGGAAATTTTAGAACAGCGTATAACCCCAAAAAAGAAGATAAAGAAAAAAAAGCTCATTGTACGCAAAGGAACGGCGCCATCAACACTGCGCTTGCGCCGAGCCAAAACCGCTTCTTGGATTGGCGCGCGGTGGCGACGCTATTTCTTTGTACGCACGCAAAGCTTTTTCTGCAGTTTTTGAAAACTCGCTATACTTCTTTTGCACTTTAGGCCCCCGGCCGCAGCAGACGCTGCGATTTGATGATGCCAATCATGCGGCAACAAAAAGTGTATGGTCACGTCCAATCACGCGCAGATAAAAGTACACGATCGCGGCGCATTAATTGTGCGTGACTGGTTTTGTCGGCCATAACGAACCAACAAAAGCGGCGAGCACCATGACTTTGCACTTCCGGAGCTGCACGATTGGCTCCGTAGGATTGCGTAGCGTCTGTTGCGGGCGGACTTAAAGTGAGACGAAGTATGGTAACTATATAAGGATGAAGTTATCCCGGACCAGAAGGGCGATTCCCACACACTTGCGTCGAGTCCGACCGCGTGCAACTGCAACGGCTTCCGACGCACAGGTTGCTATAGCAACAGCTGCGTCGGCTCCAACAAAACCGGTTTTTCTCCCGTTTTGCTGAAGCCGACGCAGCTGTTTGCCATAGCAACCCGTCCGTTGCAGTCCCACTAGGTCAGACTCATGCAGGGGGGCCATGTTCGGCAAATGTTTCGTTTCTCCTAAAAAGAAACGGAAGTGACGGAAGTGACGATGTCGCGTCTGATTGGCTAAAGGCTCAAATGACGAAATTTCTTTCGTCATTTTAGCCTCTAACCAAACAGGCAATTTGATAACTTCCGTCACTTCCGTTTCTTGTTAAGAGAAACGAAACATTTCTCGAGCATAGCCCCCCAAGTGTGGGAACCAACCTTTATCATAATTCCCAGAACCCGGATGAAAAAGGAAAAGAAAAACGTCCAGATTGCTTACGGGTGAGAACCTTGAGTTCGTGTTCGTTCTCGTCGGCTGCTGTAAGCTGCTCGGATGTGACACTCGTGACGTCCACCTTCGACTTTTTAGCTTCGATCATCAACTGCAACAGGTCTTTCTGCGGAGGAAGCTGCACACGCCATAAGTGATCATTTTAGCATCGTGTTTGCGATCGTGAATAGTCTGTATTATAACGAGGAAAACACGGCAGGCTGAGACGGTCTTGACATAAAGTTAATCCTTAAGCGGGGTTGCTCGCAAACATGATCAGAGACAGCCAAGCAAAATGTGGCGTATGGCGGCTGCTTAAGAATCTTGTAATTTATGTTTGAACTTACTTTAGCACTAACACTGCTCGTTTGTGTTGCAGTAAAATATTATAAAGAACGTATACGTTCTTTTTTTTTTTTTTTTACTAATATATTAGTAAAAAAAAACTGCAAAGTCGTTTAAGATTGCTAACGTGTAGAAATGCGAAAACATTCGTATACGTTGTGTATTCCTACAAGCTGCGCGCCATGTTGAGCCCGGTCGGGCGACCTCTACGGCGGCTGGCCGGGCGCGCTCTGCGGCCGGCTGCTCCGTAGAGCCCAGCCGCCCTCTCCCTTTTACCGGCGGCCGGGCCGCTGCGCCATGGACAGGGCTTCTCCGTGGAGTGGCGTTCCCTGGAACTACGCCGCGCACCAGCCAATGGGAGTTTATCTTTAATTCGCTGCTACAGACCACAGGGTTCGATCCATGGGACAGGGGAATTTAGGTGCCGTTTGGCGCGGCTTCAAAAGCTGGTACGCCGGTTCGCTCTATGGGACGGTTAAGGCTCTCGCATTAATATCTCGGTATTACACACTTTCTACAAGGCACCTATAATTGTCGGTGCTTCTCGAATATTGTTTTTGGCTTGGAAATTACCTCTACTGTACAGTCCTGCCATATTACTGATTTTCATTATCGTTGTGTACAGTCTAGCATTGTGTGGGCAAAGATTAAGAACTGTAGGTTGACATGACAAGATCAGCTCTTCAGCGATTCCAACAGCCTTCGTTTTTTTACCAACATGTTTGTCGCCAGTTGGTGCCGCGCATGTGGTATAAATATGGTTCCTTGCTTTCGGAGTTTATTTTACTTCAATGTCGGGGCGTGCTTTTATGACATTTATTTTATCCCACAAATTTTTGTGTTTATCACTGGCAATCTAAATACTTTACAAAAAAGAAATCGGTGCTAATGGGATTTTATGCTGAAGAAAACAGGACAAGGTCATTGCCTTCTTAACCGCCAGGGACCATGCATTTGAGTAGAATACCTGAGAAAACAAAAATCTAGTACCTTGACGTCGGTCTTCTGTCGTTGCCTAATAATGCTTTTGCATTTTTCCTGAACCTCGCTGAAAGGATGCACTCCGCCGTTAATCCTTCTAAGCCTCCAGCCGTTCAGGACTCTCAGTGGACCCTCCAGTCCAGGAAAGGACGCTAGAAAGCGTCAGTCGAAACAAAAGAGCGTGCTCCGTTACATGAACCATTCTAGATGCAAGCTTTGATAATTATATGTTAAGAAAGACAAGGAAGACACACTATAGGGCGAGAAACTGGGGGAGAGGAGGGTACCAGAGCGTGCGATGACGTCAAAGCAGCAAGCCCTGATTGATGAATATAGTGGGTAGACGCATGGGGATAGCTGCCTTTGTGTCTACTCACTGTCTCTTCCCAATGAGAGCAAGCAGGAGCGTCTGTGGTCCTCGAGCATGGTCTGGAATTCGGCGTTTGAACGCCAGACCCTGCACGAGGAGCAGAATGACGCTCTTATTTGCACTGACTGAAGGTGGACAGGGGATAGAGAGAAAGGCCGCTAGCTTTTGCGTCTATATTAGCACTCTTCTTTCAATCAGAGCTCGGCGCTTTGATGCCAACGCACGTTCTAATCTCCTTTTGTCCCTCAGTTTCTATTCGTATTGTCGGCTCCAGTATTGAGCTGTTCGTAAACAAGAAAACAGAAAAAGGGAATGACGAAAATATCCTTTTTCACAAACAAGAAATAAATAGGATATCTTTCACATTATGGGTGACATACATGACTACTATTGAATCGAGTTGGCAGCTTACCAAGTAGCACAGCGATGAAGGAGAAAGTGCACCCGAAAAGCATGTTGATGCTAGTCAGAAACGGGTGCTTGGGATTCTGCTGGATCTTCAAGTTGATGCCTAACGCGCTGCGCGAGATGAGATCCAGTGTGAGCGCCTGGTACATTGGGCCGATCTCGAATTCCTCGTTCTTCTGCGCCACCTGTTGAAGCCTTCCCATCAATTCTTCCACGGTCGAAATGACGCTTCCTGACATCTGAAACCGCGCAGATTAAAACGTCAGTTTGCTTCCGATTTTCACATACACATAAACATGTTCAGCGTTAAATGTGCTTGTTTTTTTAATCCACTCGAAGAGAACAAGCCAATTAGATTCAATAGATGCAGAATCCACCGGCTTGAACAAGTAGGAAGAATAAAACGTCTTGTTTTTAACGCTTTTCAAGACGCGTTTGACCCGCGTATGTAGTGACCAGAGGACTTCACTGTGAACTGCCTGTAAGCATGACTTATTTCTTAGTACGTAGCGATTTTTACCGTCAGTTAAGCAATAGGGATATTTCAATCGTAACGGTTGATTTTTACCTTCAACCATAATTGTTCTTGCTTCAAATATGCTTGGAACGCACGCGCTTGGTCAATAAAGTTTATGGAGGCACTGTGATTATGCCGGTAACAGCGCAACTGAAGACCATCCTCTCGATCTACAACTGTCAATAGAGAGTGTTAGGGAACCGTGGTTGCACACCCGATACGGTGATGGACCCTTCTGTACGAACTTCGCATGTGCCAGTCTTCCGCGGTCTTACCGTAATGCGCCGTTAGAACCATAGGGCACGACCAATGACCGCCATCGACGGTCTCGCTGCGTTACGGAAACAGCTATTTCGCTGTAGGAGGGAGCGTGCCGAGGCTTCGCACACGAATAAAATAACTCGTGGTAGTGCCTGGCAGAAGCACCATAGGTGACAGAAAGTATATAAAGTTGGATTCAACAAATAAGAAAGTTCAGAATGAAATGTGATGGACCTTCCTCTTAAAAAAAAAATAATTTAACGTTTAGTAAATAGCCTACGAGCCTGCGCAGTCGCTCAGTTGGTTAAAGTGCTAGTTTAGGGCTCATAGGAGGTCGAAAAGAGGGTCCATAACCAACTTACCTAAGAAATGTTTTTTTTTTTTTAATGTTAGTAAAGTTTTAGTTTTTATTATTTGTGTAAAACATTGAGATGGGCATTTCGGGCATTTATGACCCGTTCCTGTACCTGTCATTGTGACTATGAGGGTTTTTGCGGTGGCAACAAGGTGAGCAACAGTCTTTTGCATTAGGCCTCTCGATACTTACTTTGAAAATGTCAGTAATACGACTAATCACACATATCCTATAAAACGAGCCCTCTGAATATTGAGTGATATATATATATATATATTTTTTTTTTTTAACTGCACAGCTGTAAAGTGACAAGTTTTTCTTTCTTTCTTCTTGGACGTCGTACCGTATATTGCGCGACAATCGGTTCGGAGGCGTGCGGCTTTGATCGTCTGCTAACGGTACCACACACGTACGCGAGCCTGAGAAACATAAGCGCCCAGGCGCTTGGGGTAGGCCAGCCCCTCAACCCGATCTCGAGGGCCACGTTTCCTGACACCCAGACCCAGCCGTTGGTTGTCAGCGTCTCCGTGATGTGCAGTGACGATCAACCAAAGGTGACATGCCTAGTTAAGGCTAGAAAACACCTCCATTTTTTTCCCTTCTGCAATACTATCAGTCGGCAGCACCGGCCGGAGATAGGGTAAATCCTACTTCGCGAACCTGTGGCCCTAAACTCGTCAAACGCAAAGTTGAAGCCAAAGTTTGCGGAGCGCGCCAATTGGACTTCGGCGAAAAAAAAAAAAAAAACACGAAGTCATCGCCGTGATAGGCCAATCAGTGTGCTCCGTCAACTTCCGCCTCAACTTCGTGTTTGACGAGTTTAGGGCCCTTGAACTGCCGTACGACGTCCTCGTCGCACATCTACTCCCGGTCGAACACCCCATGACTCGCCGCCAACATGCGCCTTCTCTTAGTGCGCAGTCAGTCGTAGAAATTATTTTTTTTCTAAATTGTTAACGCAGGTTAGTGTCAAGTTCAAACCGTTGTCAGAAAGATCGAGCTCCAGTGTTGTCGGAAACCTCATCTGCTTCTTTAGCAGGCGAACATTTTAGAAATGTTTGACGAACCATGAATAGATATACACAGTGAGGTTCTCTATATTTCGGAGACGCGAAATTTATTTACTCCAGTTTCTGCGATTCGTAGCCCCGCCCCCCCCCCCCCCCCCCCCTTTCTCGTATGCACACACACGCAAATCTCTATTTTCTCAATGAAACCGATGCAGGCTTCCATTGACAGAGGGCGCGACCTGTACCGATGGTCTGTAACAGTCTGCAAATCCGGTTCCCCCAAAGCCGTTTCAAGGTAAGCGATCGCTGCACACACCCGATCCAAGGTATCATTAATTTTTGTCTATTGATCGTATTTTGTTGCGGTTCCCTAAAACATTCTAATGACTACGATAGCAAGATTGATTGTTCCTATACCGTCGAATCAATGAAACTGATCAACAAGGCCAATTGGTTCATTTTACTATACTAAGGATGCCGTTAGGTTCACCATTTTTAGCTTGGCAGAGGTGTAAGATGGTGTGAGGACACTCCTCACTTCCTTCCATCTGGTCCCCATCAGTTGCATGATGCTCTTGTCGTGTGGACTAGACGGTCGCTTGTTCTGGAACAGGAGCTGGGACAGAACGATTGAGAACAACATAGAATCAGACACTGACCATAAGATAACCTGGTTTGGTGTGCCGATGTATCATCGATACTCACGGCTCTGTCAAGGAAATCCTGGAAGTTCCTGACCTGCACGTTTTTTAACACCTCGAGGTCCGCCACGAGCAGAACTGGTCTGTAGCCGTTGAAGTACCTGAAAGTCACGGTAGCTTAACGTTAGTCACGTGTTCGATCCATGTGTAGAAACTTGTAACATAATAACGGTGCGGTACAGGACAATATAAAAACAAAATATCCCAGTGACAATGAGAGAACTGCGGGAATTATTTTGACTTCAGGAGCCAGAGACCCGGTGCGCTATTGTATAATTTTTTAACATGTTTAAACCACACATTTTCGCAGGCATACCTGACAACGTTTTAGTTATATAAGCGGACGGGACGTCTCATGATAAAATATCTCTTCCCAGTAAACACGAAAATAAAAAGTGGCGGGGGGGGGGGGGGGGGGCGGGGAGGGGGTTGTGGAGCGAGTTTCAAGCATATGAAACATACGACGGTAAAAATTGCGTTCTACAAATCGCATGACTCGTATTTATTCCACTGAATGTCGACACGTATAATCGGCGACAGCTTAATAACCTAGTGGGGGCTGCGCCTTGAGCGCGTGCCTTCCTGCATTTGATAACACTTGGTCGAAAGCGCAGGCCAGAGCACAGCGGAAGGAAGAGAGTGCGTGCTGGAAGAGCAGCCTCTTGAGCAAGGTTGCTAATTACTTTTCACAGTTTCACAGAGTACAGGTTATATAACGCCGCAGTCGCACTGACCCTACATCGTACAAAAGGCACGTTGCTCACTGCAGGCATGATGACAGAATGACCTGCGGACTCTTCTCAAGCATGTTCGGAATCACGTTTGTTTCGTACAAACGTGTGCTTTGAATCATGTCTGCAGGCAATGTTTGAACGGCCAATACGACAGGACCGTCATACAGGGAAGAAACTGGCCTAAGACAGTAGAGAGTTTTAGGGAACCGTTTTTTCACATCCGATACGGTACGATTCGGGCCCTCTGGTACAAACTGCGCATGCGCCACCTCCGAAGATTCGCGCATGCGCAGTTCGTAACGGAGGGCCCATATCGTACCGCATCGGATGTGCAAAAACGGTTCCCTAAAACCTTTCTAGTGACTGCACTGACTATCTTGTTGTAGATGCATTACCATCACAGCTTAAAACGCAATTTTTGAGTACAATGTGTGGTGCTAAACGGGGTTCAGAAATGGTACTATATAAGCGTTATTGCAGGCATGACAATAGGATACATACCCGACGACCTTTCCGTACTTGTTGATCCACTCCCGATATACAACGGTCGGTGTCTGCAATTGAATGTTTTGGTAGTGGATTAAATTAATTTTTGTGTTTTATATTTTTATTTTCATTCTAAAGAATAAATGTTAAAAATAATTTTAATTTAAAAGTAAAAAAAAAGCAATGTATCTAATTTGTGCCTCTTTTTATTACAGTTCCTACCTGAGAATCTGAGAGTGTCAGTATTAAAAAAAAATAATAATAAATAAAAAAGGGATGAAAGGTCTTAATTTTTTTTTATTGTCTTATCACAGATACATTCAGATATATGAGTAAGTGGGCAATTCATCTAAACCTTCTCTATGACTTTCCTTGTATGATACCTCGTTTTATTATTAGGTGACGCTTAGACCGACGTTTTTCAAGAATACCAGGAGGTATCTAGTCTTAGGCTTCACCTTGGAAATCGCGGTGCACTTGATACTTAGAAACTACCTTACCTTTTGGTATAACTCCATCATATTTCCCAGAAAGAGGCTTGGTTCAGGCCCGGGAATGCCCAAGGTTTTAAAGTATGTGAAATGCTGCCGCCTTTGCCTGCATTCACACACAAAAAAAGAAGGAATTAGTGTGGAGAAATGAAGACTAAACAATGTAAACATTTCTACTTAACCTGCAAAAACACTCCAAGAGTCGCTAACGGCGCTTTGTCTAAGGTAAGAGCTTATTGCATGACTAGACAACAGACTAGTTTTGATTTCAAAATGGAATCGGCGATTTGAGACTGCATGACCCCAGGTAGCAGTGATTTATGGGCCAAAATTTTGTTTTTGTTGGAGAAGTTTAGCCATTCAAAAGCCCGGAGAAGTCAAGGTGGAGGCAAACTTGACCTTCTTTTGGACAAAGTATCAATATCGTGACTCTAATTTGCCAAACGAGTGCCGAGGGGCAATATCTAGTATGTCTGTCGTCTGGCCTCTTCGGGATTAAATCGTCAAACAAGTGCCAGCGTTAGGCTTCATTTCTGGTTGTTTGGTTTTCATGTCGCAACTTTTGGCCTAAATTGCCAAACAAGTTCCATACTTATGCTTTGCCGCTGGTGTTTCGGTTCATACGTGGCATTTTCGGCTCAAGTCTGGCACTTTGCAATTATGTGGTGAGCCGGAGGAAAGCCATATGATACGCGAATGAAAGGTACTCTGGCCTTGAAGCAAACCCGTTAGTGTTGTGCGAATATTCGAATTTCCGAATAGTATTTTCGAATAGTACTCTATTCGATATTCGCTTCGAGAGCAGTCTGTTTCTTTACTGTCTAAAGACAAAAACAAAACGATATCTGAAATCAAGAATATACTCACACGTTCGGCAAAATGGTATAAATATTATGGTGGGAACTTTGAAATATATTCATCGCAATTATTTCATCAACTTTTTTTAATAACGGGCAAAAAAAAAAAAAAAACAAGCAACGAACTCCAGAGACGCCGGCGCCATCTTCGCCAATCTTGGCGCCCTGGTTGCCAGCACTTTTTTCTCACCACCGCCACGTCCAGACATAAATTTAGAAAAACAAGTTTAGGGTAAAAATAAATACGTTTAGAAATTTCTCATAACGTGCATAATTGCTCAGAAACTTTTATTTCCGATAAAACTCATAAACACGGTTTCAAAACATTTAAACTATAATATTTCGAAGGAATATTATATTATTACAGCGACAAAGTGAGTGGATGACATCCACATTGTCAAAATGACGGCAGCTAAGTCGATTGGCAAGATGGACTAACGACAGCGTGAAAAGTCCAGTTTGGAAATGTTTCTATAAACTTCCCTCTAAAAACGGCCAAGTTTTTTGAACGGCAAGTATTCGATATTCGATTCGAAAATATTCGACCAAAATCACTATTCGCTTCGAATTCGATTCGAACTCAAAATCCACTATTCGCACAACCCTAAAACCGGTATTAGGCTCAATGTATCCTCCTAGGATTGCCAAGCTTGCGCCAAGTTAGGAGATTCTCTGGCGTGGTACCTGGAACGTTTGCATGCCAAGCGTCATGCTTAAAATATTGGATAGGTTTCCGGCTTTGTCATCCCTATGCCTTTCCCGCGTAGAACTTTCAGTCTTCTATGTGGGAAAGTCACCGCGGATCTACAATTAAGAAATGGAACATAGCGTTGTCATTCTAACCTAATCTAATCAATGTCACATGGTATCGCACCCTGGTAGGAGAAAAAAAAAACACGTATATATAAATTCGTTTAATGAACACATTACACCATATAAGTATGCACGCTATTCTATATCGGACATAACTTATGCGTCCAGATACCTTTGTCGAACGAAATATATGAGCTTCTTTTTCAGAAGCGAAGTTGAAATTAGTCGCTACATTTAATGGGATTTCGAGCTAACTTGTATGCTTCCGGATAAAATCAACATGAATAACAATCAAGGCCTCCGCAAGTCTGTCGATCTTTTCGAATTTTATTGCGGTTTGAGTTCTCGTAAATGTACAGACGCCTTGCTGCAGCTAGCGTTATTCCCCTGTTTGAGAAACTGAAGGGAGGGTACTTACATGATCCATCGAACCGCGAAGAGGACGATACACACTAAGACTAGATCCAACGTCATTCTTGCCGTTGAGCTTTAGTCAATATCCGCTGAAAAGCAAAAACAACAGAGCAGCTCGAGTAAATTCCCTCCTGTGCTCCAATGGCAAGGTGTGACAACTGGTGCGTGAGTGACCGCGTGCGCGACGGAAATATATTTTCTGGCTACGAAACGTCGTGCACTTTCGTAGTGCTGAGGGACTTTGAAGTGATCTTAATGGAGAACTATATACGGAAAAATAATACGGGCGTGTACCTATTTCTTCGACTAAATTTCGAGAAAAACAAATATCTCGGGTCTTCGAACGACTTACTCAGACATGTATGCACGTTACTGAAATAAAGCCAATAAACACCTTTACTGGTTACTCACGCCAATAAGTAACTAAGTACGTTACACGCCACTCAGAGTCAAAAGGAACGCGTCTCCTCAGCTTGAAAATAACGCGCTATTTTTCTCGCTATTGCTAATGACTCGCCTTTACAAAGCAGTAGTCTCGTCCAATATTTGTCGTCGTTAATAGTTTCTTAATTTTAACTCCTATATTCTGGCATAACTGGGGCTATACTGGCATACCTTATGCACATCTTATAAATGGTCTACCGAGGGCTTTCTCGTCGTGTAGATTACAGGAACGAGCTGGAGGTGAGAACAATGTTGGGTACTTGTATTGTGCACGTTCCTTTCCAAATGTAAGTAAATACCATTACTAGTTATTCTATCAGAAAGTAATAACAATACGTAACTCGGTTCCGCTCTTAAAAAAACTGAGTTGTGTACTTAATTACCTAAAAAGTAACTAGGTACAAGTAAGGCGTTACGTCAATCGCGTTACATAGAAGTCTGGACTCACCCGTACAGTCTACAGGAGCTGATGTTTGTTGGGGCTAGTGAGGCACGATCTGAACGGTGGGTCACTTTCATCTTTTAAATTACTAGAGGGACTTCCGGTGATCTATACGTTTATTGGAGAACCGGAATGGGATGTCACATCCTTCTCTTCATGACGGCGACACGTGCACACGTGAGCGTCCGGTGTCATAACTAAAATGTTCCGTTAGACGCCGGCGTCAGAATGTATTTTAGGCTTAGTGCAGCGGTAGTCCATGTGGTACTGAGTTTATTTATTTCAAAATTCGGGAAACGCCGATTAGTATAAAAGAAGTCTTTTATATTATTAGTATATTAGGTTGGCACAAGCAGGATACCGCTTTTGTAGGCTAGCATTATCTCTATGCATTTGTAGAGCCAATAAATACATTAATATTATCATTATTATGAACTCGAGATATGCATTAAGGTTTATTAGCCAGGCAAAAAGTTTTGTCTGAGTTCGTGAGATTTGAGAGATTTTGTCTCAACTCTCAGAAACGTCTCCTTCTTCGTCCGCCTTAAGCCGGTTTAAGATATGCGTTACGTGCGTTCAATTTGTAGCGCATATAAATATATTCGTTCCGTCAGAGTAACTTGTGAATTTGTGGTCATTCGGCACTAATAAATTAGAAGCTTTTAATACCATAGTGGTAATAATCATAGCCTCAAACAAAACAAATGTTTCGTTTGAGGCTAGGATAATACAAAAGACAAAAGACAAGCGAAACAAAAGTTGAACGTTTGTGTTCATGTTTGTCTACTTTTTTGCCTCGCATTTTTATTCCTAAACGTATCTTTGAGAAACTTTTTTTTTGGCGTGAAGGTGCTTGCTTGAAAGGGGCGATGCAACATTTTTTGTACCTTGCGCAAATACCACTTAGAATGGATCCCTGGCGTTAATGACCTGTGAAACACCCGTTCGTTTTTCACCAAACGCAATCAAAGTCGCAAAACAAAATATTAAAGAAACACGAGCAGCGTTCACTGCTTCAAGTCGCAGCCAGAACAAGCGGCTGCAAGATCTAGAGCCGACAAAATGCCGGCAACGTTGATCATAGCCACGCGCTGGGGTTGGCAAGGCACTGGATGCGCGATCAGTTCGAGACATTGTTATGTCTAGGCTATTGTTGTGATTGCAGCGATTGGGCACGGGCATGGCCTCCTCTATACTCACAGAGCCTGGCAGTTCGACGATGGAGTCATAGAGTGCCCGGTCGCAGATTTGGAGCGCGAGGATTTGGTAGTACAGAGCATCAAAGAGCCATTTCTTGGGGAACCTCTGCGTCAGCTCACAGCTTTTGCAGCGGCGAGGACCCGAAACACACTTGTTCGCTTGGGACTCGGGAGAAGTGTGTTTCAGCGTCTCGCCGCAGCGGGGCGCCAGTCACATGGCTCTCCTCTCATCTGTTGTCGGCCGCTCCACCTTTTCCTTTTCGGCGGCCGAATCTCGTGGCGATCTGCCAGGCTTTGCCAGTATTTAGGACGCTATCCCTAGGACCACTACCCGAAGGCTTTTGGTGCTATCGATTATTACGAGCCCATATAAGTGCCCACGGAATGCTCCTGTCCATTTTATGAGCCGAATTCAAATATCGTCCCTGGGGGTACTACGATCCCCCAGTTACGTCATCAAGTTTCGCGAAAACAAGATGGAATAACAACGCTCGCTTTTGTCTTTGAAATTACACCGCAACAAAGGAGTTCCTTGGCCAGTGGCGTTGCATGCGAGTATCCTTGAGTCCCACTAGTGCCAGTAAGCTCGTGTAAAGTAAAAATTATTGCGACTGAACATCGTTTCACAGCCCATTTAAAGGGATGGTGCAACGATATTCAATTGGAATGTTTACTCAAGGATACTCTCCCGCAACGCCACTGGCCAAAAAAACTCCTTTGTTGCGGTGTAATTCAAGGAAAAAGTGAGCGTTGTCATTTAATCTCTCCTTCGCGAAACTTGATGATGTAACTGGAAGGATCGCAGTACCCCCCCCCCCCCCCCCCCCCCCGTGATGATATTTGAATGTGGCTCATAGACTAGACCCGAGCATTGCGTGGGCACTCGATTTGGGCTCGTGATAATGGATAGCTCGCGAAGCATTCGGAGAATGGCTCGTGTCCGATCACTGCAGTGACAACAATAGCCGAACCATACCAATGTCTTGAACTCAGCAAGTGTCCAGTGCCTTGCCAACACCAGCGCGTGTTCATGATCAACGTTGGTGACATATAATCAGCTCCAGATCACGTTGCCGCCTGTACTGGCTGCGAGTTGAGCGGGTGAACGCTGCTCGTTTTTCTTTAATTTTTTCGGCGACTTTGATTGCGTGTGGGGAAAAACCAGTGGATGCTTCACAGGTCATTAACCTCAGTAATTAGTTTTAATTGGTATTTGCGCAAAGTACAAAAATCGTTGCATCACCCCTTTAAGACTCGCTGCACGCTCCTCAACGTGTTTCATTCTCATCCTTGCCACGCGTTGAGGATACGTTTACGCATGATTCAACTTACCATTTTCAAATCTGAACCAAGCAGACGACAAAGAAATACAGTTAGTTAGTGGAAACGTTTAACTACCGGAAACATGACAACGCTCCTCTAACAAAAACAGCAAAAAAAAAAAGAAAAAAAAAAAAAAAGACGCCGCAGAAACTCGTGGCACGGTGTGTCGTTGACGGGGATGTTGACCTCTTTTTTTGTTGTTGTTTTCAAACGCGGTAGGTATTAAGTTAAGCGTACTGTGATATTTTACTGCCCCATAAACTTCAGCAGCAATTTTGGACAGACAGGTTCGCCGATGGGGGAAAAACAACAAGAAATTTTCCCGGAAGTTCGTACATAGCTTCTTTCACACCCAGGTGGCGCTAGAGATTGGATCATGGCAGAGCCGTATATTGGGAGAGTTTGGCCAGTGGGTGTGGCGACGAAGGCGCCGGAAAGGAGAAAAGTAAATGAAAGGGAGGAGAGCGCTGAAGGAGCGAGAGAGAAAGAAGGGAGCAGAGAGGAGACGACCGCCATTTTTTAGCAACGCTGTCGGAGACTGGTCGGAGAAGAGCACTGCTGAGGCTACGCGTCGTCTGCTACGGGCCGACTTCTTTTTCGCCTGAATAAAAGTTTGTGGCCATACGCCTAAAAAATCTTCATTTTTTAACCCACCGAGGAATAACAGAATGTCATTTTCTTGCCAGAGCCAGCGATATAAAAGGCAATAATCGAGATTTAGATGCCGATCCCACGCATTCCGCCGGGAGAATGATCGAAGATGTCGGCCCTCCCCACTCAGGTGGGAGCAGCCGGGAGTTCACGCGCATGCGCTCATGCCTCTCGCTCTACGCCGCGTGCTGATTGGCTCACTCTGGAGGAGAGCGTTACGGCGGCGAGATCATAGACTGACCAAACTCTCCCCATATACGGCTCTGGACCATGGGATATGACCTCATGCTAATCCGCACTCATTCTGCTCATACATCTTACAAAAGACTGCAGACATGACAGCATTATTTACCGACAAGCCTCAAGCATATTCGAAGGCTGTTGGCTTCATACACGCTCCCAACATGTCTGGAGACAGATTTTTTTTAATGAAGATGTGATAAGACGGTCATTGAAGGAGGACGCACGCCTCAGACTGTGTTTTGCATGATGCATACGGACTGTAACTTTTTTTGTTTGTGAAGATGGTTAGGCGAATGCACGCGTGCTTTGTAGCAATAGGAAATTCTTCTAAATACTATACTTCTAAATTCTTAATTAAAAATATACTGCAAAAAAATTAGGCTTGTTGTTTTTGTTTAATTTATTTATCATCTTTGTTTAGGTAATAGTTTAAATATAAACTTGTGCTAGGTGGCGCAAGTCGCCGCACATTTAAAAGGACGTTTAGCCGCATTCATCCGCCCATCCATGGGCCACTTTTGTGTTGCCTCATTTACGCTGTTGGATCGGTAACATCTGCTAAAATTACTGGTGCAATTTCGACGTTAACCCCGACATAAGATATGAAAAAAAAGTATTTGGATTAAACGCTTTTTGGGTTTTTGGGTCGGACCGACTAAAACGAAAATCAATAAAAAAGAAAAACGGACCAATTTCGTTCATCTCGTAGCGTCTTTACTTGCGGCGAGGAGGAGAACTAGAGACAGTGACCTGCTCTA